AGAGACAGTCGAATCTGGACTGATATCTGCAGAGTTGCTTTGTTTTGTGCCCTAGTTTGCCGATGCCAGAACGATGCTGGTCGGAGCTGGGGCGTTGCCCTGTAACCTGCAAATGGCAGGAGTGTGAGGCCTTGTAGAGAGATCTGGGGTTTTGCTGAGGGAGGAAGGCAATCCAGTGGTGAACCAGGGGGGGCTGCCTTGACAACCTATGGGTCCGGGGATAGTCAAGGGGGCGAGAACAGGTCAGCTATGGTAGACGTTGGTTAGGATGGCATTGTCTCTGAGATGTAATGTCCTGGTACAGGGAGGGCTAGGAGTTCTTTTAGGATTAGGAGGCCAGAATTGATAATATAACAGTCTTCTATATTTTTTACATACTCATCATCATCATCAGTAGTATGATCACAGTTTACATAGAATCAGTAGACGTTCATCATCATCATCATCATCATCATATGAGGGACGCTGAGCCCGGTTCTCAGCAAATTCGGTTCAATCACTCTGGGTAGACTGTGAGGACCCCGGCCTCAATCTTCTTATTGGTAATATCAGCCTTGGGCACTGGGCCCGCTTAAAAAAAAAAAAAAAAAAAGATAACAAGAGCTGCCTTTGTGCATAAATCTGAGCAGAGGACAGGTGACCATTGTGTTAAACCACCACTACCTGGAAGCATCTTTTTACCGAGAACTGTGCGCCAAGCTTTGCCAAAGTGCCAGCGTGACCTTTTTTCGTTTGTTTCGGCTGGTGCCACCAGCAATTTTGGTCCGGTGGAGCCCCCCCCCCCGAAGAATGTGGTATGGTTATATTCACAACTTAGCCTTCACCTCTGGTGATAGTTCAAACCACCAGTCTGAGACTGCACCAGCATGTTCCCAGCCATTTTTCTCCGACGTGGCCATGCTTGCACTGCAAGTTCCGGGGGTTGGTTCACCAGAGCAAAGACCTTTGGGAGCACAGGGTGCAAGGCGTTCAGGGACGGGTCAAAAGTACTGGTGGTTTAAACCACCACCAGTACAGAGCCCCAGCATCACAGAAAATGAACTTGTCCCCACCACAGAAAAGTTGGGGAAAGCCATTGTTCCCTTGCGGAACACAGAGGACAGGCAGGAGGAAGCAGAAGCGGAAGGGGAATGAATACCTTTCCTTCGACATTTGATGGGCATGGCTCAACTACTTGCCAAATGTGCGTATTGAAAATGAATCTTCCACTAGAACAGAGAAAGATACACCGCCATATTTTCTGTCGTTTGTGCATGTGGTGAGTGGTCGAGCAAGGCCGGATCTTAGCCTAATTCAAAGGCCTTTTAGGCAGAAGGCCTTTTGGCTAAGATCAGGTGTAGAAGGAGAAGCAGAGTTTCTGGGCTTCACTGCACCACTTGCTAAATGCGCACAATGAGGCTGAAACTCCCCCTAGAACATGGCAAGGTACACAGCCACAATTTTTGTCTTTTGCGCATTTGGTGAGTGGTGCGGCGAGGCCCTCTCACTTGTGCGTCCGCCGAAAGAGAGTAACACAAAATGAGAGCAACTCAAAAGGGGCAAGATACCTACCTTCTTTTTCAGCAGTTTCTGAGTGATGGTCTGTGGGGGTGGAGCTCTTCCGGCAGAGATTGGCTGGAAAATGATTGGCCTCCAGACATTCTGAGACTCTTGATTTGGCCACGGACCCTAGGAAATGCAAAGTTGTTTTTTTTTTCGCTTTTTTTCCCTGAGTACTGTTTTCTAACACTTCTGGCTTACTCACATCATGACTCACGAGTTTCTTCCATGGCACATGGACGTTATGACTGCCAGATAATTAAAAAAAAAAAAAAAAAAAAAAAGTTGGGGGCTTTTTGGGACTCGGGGCGCCGCCAGCCAAAACAAAAACAAAATGGTGCACTGGCACCTCGACAAATTTTGGCACGCAGGGGGCTTGTCAATTCGGCGAAACAGGCTCAGGTGTACTGGTGGTTTAGTACACGGCCCCAGTCTTGCAGAAAAAAGAACGTGTCGCCACAAGAAGATTTGAGAGGGGCTTGGGGAGGGCCCGGTAGTGAAAAGGGGGAGCCTCAGGAAGACGTGGGCCCAGCGGAAGAGGGCAAATGGACTGTTGCTTTGCCCGCTGGTTCAGTCCATGCCAGTGAAAACAAATGCTCAGACGGCTACGGGAAAAAAAGAAAAAACTAAGACACGAGCATAATGACAAAACGCCCGCCACATCGCGGGCATGCACTGTCAGAGGGCAGAAAAGCCCTCAAACTTACATGGAGGCTGGCAAGAGTCAGAGCTGCGGCGGAGCCTCTACCAGGCTGAAAAGCATGACTGCAATCAATACATTTCTCTTCCTAGATCATCTCCAGTATGACCTGCATCATAGCTTTTTGGACTATTTTGAAGATAAAGCGGCCTCTTACAATGTCTGTCGCTTTATCCGGCGCGAAGCGCCCGTGTTGAAGAAGAGTTGCTTGATGAAAACGGGCAGAAACGCCCGCCACGGGTAACTTTGCAGATATTCACAGTTTAGTTCTCCATTATCCTTAATCGTCTGTATGTGCGCCCATTCTGTGTCTCCATACAGGCACAGAAAAGTAAAGTTCTCCTGCCTTGTCAGTGGGGCCAAAAAAAAAGAAAAAAACGGAAAAAAAAAAACACAGAAAGAACCGACTCACCTTCATTGGGAAGTTTTGAGAATGACTTCCCATTGAGGGAAACAGGTAGACCAACAGGCCTAGCTATTTGTTACACCCATAAACTGTTGAATTACAAGCCCGGCCCGGCGCTAGAGTCCAGGGCCAGAGCAAAATCATTCCGAAGAACCTGGGCCAGTCAGAGCAATGATGATATCTACGGCCGTCGCCCTGCCTGGGGGCGGTCAGCTCAATGGGAAAAAAAAAAAAACAAAAAAAAAAACAGGCAGTGCTGCAGGAAATTGGCATGTGTATTCGGCACAGGAAGCGTGCGAAGGTGGCCAAAGATCTTTTTTTTCCCTTTCTTAGGTGCCCGAAGATCTTGCGGAAAGAATCTTGTGCGGAGCAAAACAGCTCTGTTTTACAGGTGGACCCCACTGCTTTGCAGCAATGTGTGAGACCCCACTACTCTGCGGCAAAGCTTTGGAAAAGGCTCAGAAATGACTTGGCAGATGTTTTCACTCAGTTTCATTTTGCCCTTTCCTCGCGGTTTGGCCATTCTCGGGGAGGAGGGGGGGGGGGGACCTCCCTCGGTTCGGCCATCCCATGTGGAAAGGAGAGCCAGGGATTGGGTGAAGACCGGATGTTAAGTTTTCCTATATGGAAAGTGTTCCCTATCGGGTAACCTCCACCAATGGACCTGCCGAAAATTTGTGTCTCTTTCCCATCGCTGGGGCGTACAATTTGGGTTGAAAGCTTCCGCAAGTGGGGTCCACCTCTTATTCTATTCTCAACTGTAACTGATGATCAGGCGCCTGCATCTGGCACTCAACATGTGCTAGATGCAGGCACTCTCTCCTATGGTGTGTTTGGCTGGTTGTCAAGTGAAAACACTGGCCTCCTTTCCGTTCCTTCTTCTGGCAGCAGGTCCAGCACAGAGGCAGGTACCGGTATTGCCCTCGATTTTCCAAGTTGTGGTACCAGTAGCTTTCAGGCTCGGGAAAATTCAAAATTCAAAATTCAGGCCCGCACATTTAGCCTCGGGTGTACTGGTGGTTGAAACCACTAGTACATATGGGGGCTTGGTCCCAGCTGCGCATTTTCGTTGTTGGAGGCTACCACGAAGTGACTGGCGGCCGTCTAGGGACCATCGATTCTGTCAATCCATGGTCCTTAGGCGCCCGCCATTCTCTTCGTGGTAGTCTCCTACAACAAAAATGCGCAGATGGGACCGAGCCCCGGGCCTAAGTTGACGAAGTTACCTTCCAAGGCTCGAGTGTGCATCTGTGCCTTTTTGAAGTCACTGTGGCCTGCTGCTTTCACTACCAGCCCAGACCCAAGGCCAAGTGCTCTTACCGCATCTACCCCTAATGTTGGCTTGATTGAAATAAACGGACGGTCGGACATCATTTCAACTAAGTTCTTCCACAACATCATTTCAACAAAGTTCTTCCACAAAGATTGTGGTGGTTGAGGGAGCACTGAATGACTGTACAATCCAGCAGCCTAGCTCAGTTGGTAAGGCATGGAAGTGGCATTCAGGAGGTCTTGTGTTCAATCCCCATTGGCCTCATATATAGCTTTCCTGGGCATGCTTGATGCCCACCACCTCGAGATAGCCCGTTGGTCCCCCCAATTGGCATTAAAAAGCAGTCTCTGCTGATGTTCATAGGGGGAGTGGTAATCGGGGAGGCACAGTGACTGGCCACTCAGATGATGCTCGGTCCCTCTGCTACCAGCTGTCCCCTGGCCGGTGTCCCCCACTCAGCTGGGGGTTCCCTGAAGGCAATAAAGAAAGGCCACACTGGGCTGCAGTGAAAAGGCCACTCGGTGTCAGATTGTCTACCAGATTGTAACATATTTGCAAGAACAGCAATCTTAGGAGTTATAGAAAAGAAAACTGTGACAAAAGTAGGAGAACCCTCGTATACATCAGGTGCCCACATATGAAAAGGAACTGCAGTTATTTTCCATAAAAAACCTACAGCAATAAATAAAATTCCCATGAAAATACCACTCGATTGAGTCCCCAAAAARGTCATTTCATAACCAGTCAAAATTTTGGCTAATTCTTCAAAATTGGTCACTCCTGTAAATCCATAAATCATAGAACAACCGAATAAAAAATCCCAGAGGAATTTACCTGGGCTGGTTAGTCCCATGATAATAACTCAAGGCCATCACCCTTTCAACAAAAAAAAAAGAAAAAAGAATTGACTGTACAAATGTGAAAAATTCTCTGAATTTGCAAAACAAGGTGGTACCATCTTCACCCCCATACAATGCCTGGCCATTACTGCTGTAATTGGGGGACCTTCAGTCTAGGTAAAGGAATAATTACTAGGTGTTCCCCCTTTGGATGAAGACGGTATTGTGACAGTGCCCGCTCACCACTCTCATTTGCGCCAACCCGGCATGCTCTTCGACGAATGCGCTTAGCACGGACGCGCTTGCGGCGCCCATCCTCCAGTTGTGCAACGCGGAGTTTCAGGTTGTCGCACGGAGTGATGGAGGGCAACGGAAGTCCCAATGGAATTCACACAGTTGGTAGCAGATGGTGGAGTGTTTTTTATTCGGCTTTCAACTTTTCATGTTTTTTTTTTTGTTTTTGTTTTTCCCCTTTCCTATAACGTTTGGGCCCGCATGGTCATGACTTCGAGGCAGTGGCCACTGTGGTACCGCTCCGATTGGCCAAGCAATAGAATCCACGTTACCATGTGCTGAGAGGCAGAAAAAGAGCTAGCAGCACGGTTCTTTGCACCTGCCCGCATACATGTGCTCGTTCAAGCCCTGGTAGAAAAAGAGCTGGCAGCCCGGTTCTTTGCAGCTGCCCGCATGCATGTGCTCGTTCAAGCCCTGAAACCGCGCGGACGGCAGCAGAATCTGCGTCTATTCTTGCAGAGGCCCTGACTAATCCTGCGGAGGGCAAGACTATTCGCATGCGGGAACGGGGGGAGAAAGTGCGCAGGAGGGCGGAAGGGTAGTGCAAGCGGGTACAGAACTCACCTGGGGGCGGAAGGGACTCCACCACTATGTACAAACCCGTTACACTTGGGCATTCTGCTGTGCATGACACCAGAAATGATACAGGCGGCTGTATGACTGTCCTGTTGGCAACCGAACATAGCAATTTTGGACTGTAGTAGGCACGAAGTTGCGTTTTCTGGCCTGTGGAGGTTTTTTTTTTTTTTTTTTTTTTTACAAAAATCAAATGCGAATTTGCGAGGACCTCTARAGGTCCTCGCAATTTGCTGAACCCCGCGGCCCACCAGGCCGCTGACAAATACTACACTGTTTGTGATTTTGCTGGGGGTGGGGGGAAAGCGTGACTGCAAAACATCATCAGATTTTGCGACTTTGCGAAAGAGAACGTGCAAGAGCAGAATGTGGACAGCTCACTGTTGGACCTGCACCAGAGAGATTGGCCTCACCACACCAGTGTCGACAATGCTTCTTTTTCACCTGCTGTCAGACATTTTTCGCCAACCAACCCCCCCCCTTCACATTACAGCACTGTAGAATGGACGCACTTGTAAATGTAAGATGGAAAAGACGAACGCCCCTGAGGTTACGACAAGCACTAGTCCATCCCGACCTCACGCGCAATCACCAAATTTTGAAGAGAATTCGATGGCGCAGCCGAGGACTGTCGAAAGATTCGGAGTAGCAGGAGGCTGTGGATTCAACAACTTTCGACAGGAGGTGTCGAGAAGCATTCTCTGACAACTTGCAAATTTTCTTCCCGTCTCCAATTTCGACAGCGTGTGTGGCAAAGAGAAATTATCGAAAATCGTTGTTTCGACAGTGGTGTGGCAAGGCCCATAGGAGGTCGAACAAGAGTTAAAAGAGACAGAGTTAGGGCCTCGCCACACCAGTGTCGAAACACCGTGATTTTCAACAAATGTCAGGGAGTTTTCGACATTCCCTCGTTCGAAAAAAAGAGCCCCTTCGCCACACAGCATGTTGGAAAGTGAAGAACTCGCGAGTGCAAGTACAGAAGAGACAAACTGGCGTGAGGGTAAGACAACCCTTGGTCCGTCCCAAAGCGACTCTCTGTTTCGACATTCGGAGAAGGACTCGACACCTCACCGGAGGCGTGTTGAAAATGTCGAAGTTCCAGGTTGGGGAACCAGCCTCGTTCGAAAGGAGGTGTCAAAAGCCTTTCTCTGACAACTACTGAATCTTTTTCCCATCTCGGATTTCTACAGGCTATGTGGCGACGAGAAAATGTCGAAAATCCCATTTTCGACATCCGACATATGTCAGGAACTTCTCGACATTCACTCTTTGGACAGAAAAACCCTCTTCGCCGCACAGCATGTCGAAGTGAAGAACTCACAAGTCCTACGCACAAAAGAGACAAACTGGGGTGAAGATAGGACAAGCGTTGGTCCGTTCTCCTTTTCGACATTCGGGCAAGAACTTGACATCCCATGGCGGGCTTGAATATGTCCAAGTTGCAGGCTGGGAAACCAGCGCTGCTCGAGAGGAGGTGTCAAAACCCTTTCCCAGGTTCCCTGACAGCTCCTGAATTTTTTTCGCATCTCGGATTTTGACATGCTGTGTGGCGAGGATAAAATGTTGAAAATGCCGTTGTCGACATTGGTGTGGTGAGGCCCTTAGTCGAACAACAGTTGTTACAGTTCACACTACTAGTAGCACATTCTTGTGTCTGACCACTTCTATGGGCAGACTGGATGAATATGGGGCTCGTTAGACACTCCTCGGAGCATCCTCGGGCCCAAGGACAAAATCCTCGGGAAAATTTAGTGTTAGCGTTTTCGGCGTCATTGTTCGCCTCATCCTTGAAGCGTCAGCTCAGAGATTCGTCCTTGGAGATTTTTCGGTATTAAAAAAAAAAAAAAAAAAAAAAAAAAAAAACAGTTGTGCTTGAGGCTGTCAGCCAATAGGGTGCCGCCACGATTTGGATTAAACGTTGTAACGTCTCTCTACGTGTGTGCCCCCTATTCTCCGTGAAACGTGGATCCTTGGCTCCAAGGGATCTCGCGAGGTCCCTTGGAGCCAAGGATTATTTGGCTGGGAAATATTCACATTTTCACTTCCGATTTCATCTCAGAGGACAGGTGGAACGAAGACAAAATCCTTGGAATCGCGTCCCCGAGGATTGTCTAACGAGCCCCTATATGACTGCACTCACCTGCAGAAATAGGCAGCAGAGTGTCCTAATGTGAGCATGCCTTGAGTTGCAGCGAAGCTGACTGAACATAGTAGATGGAGTCCAACTCAGGGCCTCGTCACACCACTCTTGAAATGTGAGAAAGACAAAAATGTGGCGGGTGCATCTGGCCATGTTCTAGCGGGAAGTTCATTCTCATGTGTTGCACACTTCGAGCGTGGTGTGGCCATGCCCTCAGATCTGTATCCCGACAGTTCATGGGTCGGACTCAGGTCTGTAGGAGTTCCCCCCTGCTGCATTCCTGCTCATGCAGGCCTGCCAGTGCGCTCTTGGCTGACTACGTACTCGGAACCCCTTCCTCGGCAGCGACACCCGGTCTTCCAGTCGCCTTGCTCTCCAGCCTACACCAAGGTGTGCACTGTATTATTTCTGTCTTTTACCCCACCAGAGCGAGGTTGTTGAAAGATAAATGGGTTTCAAAAAACACAAAAAAAGAAGATGATAGGGGCGCTCTGGACAGGAGGAAGTTGTGGGAGGAAATTCCATCGAGTACGAAGATGGGCCTAGCCACACCAGTGTCGAGAACCTTTCTTTTTCACCAATTCTCAGGCCCTAGTTGCACTACTCGCCATCCGCCAAGAATTCGAATGCATCTGGACAAATATGATGTCCATATGCAATCAAGATGTTGGGGGATGGCCACATTTTTCGCCAAACGATTGTTTGCCAAAACTCCCCCCTTCGCCACACAGCACTGTAGAATGGACACACTTGTGAATGTAAGATGGAAAAAGACGAACGCCCCTGAGGGTACGACAAGCACTAGTCCATCCCGACCTCACGCGGAGTCACGCCCACTCACCAAATTTCGAAGAGAAGTCGATGGCGCAACCAAGGATTGTCGAAAGCATCGGAGTAGCAGGGGGCTGGGTGGGGATTCAACAACTTTCGACAGGAGGAGGTGTCGAGAAGCATTCTCTGACAACTGGCGAATTTTCTTCCCGTCTCCGACTTCGACAGCCTGTGTGGCGAAGAGAAACTATCGAAAATCGCATTTTCGACAGTGGTGTGGCGAGGCCCTATGATACGGCTAGCGG